AAAAAAATAGTAGCACAAAGAGCTAATGGTAATACTTGTTCAATACACCTCAAATACCAATTAACAGTGTACATTTCCTAACTATATAATGTTCAATATATCAAGGAAAATGCTAGCTCTATCATCAACATTTCCTAATCTGTTCTTATTGTTATAATGGTATTGACATAACACAAAGAGACAAAATCCATGCTTGCGACTCAGGTACTGATATTATTGTTATATGGTTGTTAATCTCATTCCATATTGGTAAATGACTACATTATATCAAATATCAACTTCACACTTTTTTGCAATCATTAACTCACAGGATTCAGGATAACTCAGTTTGTGGTTTACATGGAGGCAATGGTAACACCATTTTAAAATTGCAGCTTAATCATATATTAAATCAAATTAAATTGAAGTTTGCATACAACATATCAATATAAATTAAGTTTATCATGAGGAGGAGATTGAACAATAAGAATGCAGGTGATAACATGCTTCTTGGACAGTTGTAAGGAAAAAATAATTTACCTTAAAGTGGAAATAGTTGCATTGAATCTATGCTATTTGGATGAAGCTTAACAATTTTGTGTTATGTTCTAACAGTCAATCAAAGGGAGTAGTTGACTTTTCTGGTGGCTTAAAAAAGTCAATATCAAATATGCTTCAATTTTGAATTGATTTTCCCCAAATGTTTTGAACTGCATACAAACCAAATTAGTTGTAACTGAATTGGTAGTCTACAAGTATCAATTTTGACAGAACTGGCTGGTTTGCTTTTGCTGATTTTGCAGGGTCCCTCGACAGCCATGATTGAAACACGCAAAAGACAACTATGTATTTTTGTCTTGTGCAGAAGTGTAGTAAAAATAAGTGCATTAAAACCTGTGAGATGACAGCCATCAGTGAAAAACAGACATGGCTTGCATAACTTATACTAATATGTTAAAAAGGCAATGAGTCAATGAGTGCAGTGTAAAGATGCTGGTGAAGTTATACTATTATGTTAAACAGCTGTAATAGGAAGTACTTAGCTATTATGACCTACACATTAAAACAGTAAGAGGAAGTACTGAGAAATGCACAACCTTCAAAGTATAGCTTACATAGGTAAACACAATACTTTATATGTCAGAAAACACATCTAAAGCAATTGTGCCAAGTAAAATAGTACAGGTTTTGCAGAATTGTGAAAAAGTAAGCAGACAAAATATGGATTCATAAAAGGCAAGAACATTTTAATATAACTAATGCCAATGGTTTGTATATCTTAACAAAATAATCTCTCCACAAGATAATGGCAAATAAATATATTTGTTGTTAATGCAATTGATTTATATAAGTATAAGTTACAGGAAGTAATTGTCTTTTCAAACATATTTTCTAGGATTTATTTATTATATGGTAAATATGAAAGCAGTTATGCACTTTTGCTGCTTCTTCCTTCCTGTGCATCCATGTCATATCCTGGTTAATTTTACAATTTCACAATATATCCTTTTGATTAACTAAGATGATTTCACAGCTAATGTGATTTGGAAAGAAAGCATTTAGGGTGGAGCAAAAATATTGTCTGAATATACCAGAATTTTAGGTTCTTGGTTAACTAAGGTGCAATTAGAACCACCAATAATACTAATAAAACAGTTAAAACAACAGTTGAGGTTCTGTTCTATATTAGTTTTAAGGTGATTTTCTGTTAATGCACTTGTGCTGCTGTTCTATATCAGTTTTAAGCTGATTTTGTGATTGTAGATAGTTGCATATGTTTATGGTGCTGTTCTATATCAGTTTTAAGCTGATTTTGTGATTGTAGATAGTTGCATATGTTTATGGTGCTGTTCTATATTAGTTTTAAGCTGATTTTGTGATTGTAGATAGTTGCATATGTTTATGCTGCTGTTCTATATCAGTTTTGTGATTTTGTTCTATATCAGTAGTAAGGCCACTATAAAATATGTTAACCGCTTGGAGACACATGCCAAGTTTCATAATATAAGTTCATAACGGTTTTAGGAACAACATAAGTTACAAAAAAATTAATCAGCATAAGCTTAACATATTCAAAAAAGGACTAAGACATGTTGAGCACTGTTTGTTGTCAACTACATTAGGTTACAAAAAACCATATTCAAATGAATAACAGTAGCAAGAGAAGGAACTTGTAACAACATAGCAACACTTGGTTGTACCAAAATAACTTGAGTTGAAGGTAAAGGCTCATTCCTTCTTGGCATGCTTCGCAGTCTTGGTTGCAGATTGTTTGGGTGACAATATAGTTGAAGTTCCTAGCTCCTCAATAGAATATTCTTGGGACAACCTCTTGGAAGGGGTATTGCTTGAATAGGCTTCGTCGTTCCAATTCTGTGAAGCAGACATGGTTGGCTGGAAGTTGGAAATGGAAGCTATGAGTTGTTATTGCAATAAATTTTTTCCAATAATAATAAATTAAGACAAATATAACTTAGAAATAAACTTACTGTATGAAGGGAAGTAGGAGTCACCGCTTCATTGTCGAGTATATGATGGTTAAGAACAATTTCTTTTCCTTTTGTAGTCGCTATGGTCAGTATGTTAGTGTAAGACATGAAGAATGTAATTAAATTTTGATGACTTAATGCATCATAAACCTCATTTGGATGAATGGCATCTTTGAACATTTGGATTACTTCTTTGTCCTCAGTAAGCTTGATAACAGATGCTTGCTTAAAGTTCGGCTGAAACTTCACGCGAAAAGCAAATTCCTTTTCTAATAGTTTGTCCAAGTTTTCAGGATAGATTTGTGGATGATCTTCATTGGACTACGAATGTATAAAAGGTAAACATTACATAGTAACATTAATGATTTACATAACTATTTTTCAAAAGAAATGAAATAGCAGCATGACATAATCTGTACTAAGTATAATCATGATAGAAAAGTAGAAGCTAACTAATAGCAAAACTAAATTATGATAAATCATCGTTAAAACAATTATTTTGCCAATACTATTTGAAACAGACAGGATATAGCTAATAAATATGATGGACAGAGGCCATGTTCATTCACTCAAGAGTTAATTTACTTCAAAATAAAACATTGTGTATGTGAGCTTTTGCATAGGCATGCTGAATCAAAACACAATTTATCTGTTATTTCCCTGTTCAAGAGCTCATGTTTTGACCCAAGTTTCATTTGGGCCATTCATAGATAGTTATCTGGAAATGGTGCTGACTACGCTATAGAATTTAAGGGGCTAACATGTGTAATTGGACGATTACATGTTCAAAAAGACATCTGTCAATAATTTCTTGACCTATTTATGTTTAGATGGTTTTGTACTTAAATTTCTTCGGTGCAGAAAGGTAGGAAAAGATGGACCATGACCAGACTGGAATCGAAACAGCCCCTGAAGATCGTATGCTCTGCGTCAACAACTGTGGTTTTTTGGAAGTGCAGCTACCATGAACATGTGTTCTAAGTGCCACAAAGACATGATGCTGAAACAGGAGCAGGCCACACATATTTTATTGATGTTGTTATTATATTTTTATATGTGATGGGGGACTTGGAGTATTATCTCTGCAGTTAGAGAGACTGCATATTTCATGTGATTGGCGAAAATATATGCCCCAGTGTTTTTTAAATCTTTAAATTTCTGCTACTTTGGTAGAAGTTGGTGGTGTAAGCATTATAAGGCTTTTATTCTGTTCCCTATCTATATGTCTGTAATAGTACATGTCAAAATGGTATGTGCAATTGACAGTTGATTTATGAAGGATCCATAAACATGAGTAGATTCTATATTATTATAGTTTTTATGTGCTTGTTCTGCTTGTATTATTATAGTACTTCTGATTGTATATTATGATTTCTTACACAAGTAGGAACACATAAATGTGACACTGACCACAATTTCCTATGTCATGCTATGGAAGACTTGGCTAAGGCATTAGAGTTTGAATCCAACACAGCAGACATTTTACACCAGAGAGGTATCTTGTAAAACACTGAGTGTTTTCATCTTGTTTTTTCAGTAAGTGATTGATACATGTATGTATATTGTAGCAACTCTTTAAAGTCTAAACAGAGCTTTCACCGGTTTTATGTGAAATGAGTGTGAACTATTTATTATTGATATTATCCTACAGGTGTTTAATATCTCATAGTCAATCACATGATTTCATATATCAGAGCTTATATAAGAGCAACAAATAGTGGTTACGTGTATACGTTGAATGTATCAAGCAGACATACAAGTACATAATATTAACGCACCTTTTTCATGATTTCTCTTAAAGCATGTGCTGCCATTCCAACATATTGGATACACTCCTTGTCCCAAAACACAAAACAACCAGTCGTGCAATCATTTTCAACCTCGATTTCGATTTTATACCTAAGGAAATGGTTGAAATATAATTAAATTAACCACCATGTATAAGTAAGGTTCTTAGATAATTTATATAGTAACTAAAAAAGATGTGCTTACTTGGTGAGTGGTGGAGGTGTATTTTCACAACATGTGCATATGAATGGCTGCCCAGGAAATTTATTAGTTCTGTTACATGCCGGACAGTGCTCATAGTACCAACCCCACCTACTTGGCTTGAACCTCTTTGTGGTTCCAAAAGTGTTACAAAAAGCTTGTTGTAAATAAACATGGCATGTTATATGATTGGAAACTTGCAATTGAGTAAAAATGAAGGAAACATCATAAAAAATGGTTACGTTGCGTCGTGATAAAAACTGGAGCATAGGAACTAATATGCTTACATCTTGAAGAATCATGATGTCAGCAATGGTTTTGACATCATTGGTGTAGGAGAAAGATTGGTCCACAAACGACCCTTGTGATGCAGAAGGTGGGAGAGTGGTTGTGAAAGAGTTTGTGAACTCGCCTTGTCTCCCAACCTAAATGAAATTGAAACATTATATACAGTGGAGTACATATAAAGGATTTGACTATTTATCACATTGAATAATAGTTCCTTACTTGGATTTGAATGCTGTGACCTGTGGATGAACAAAATCAAGAAGCAATTTGGATCCGTTCCAAGCATTTGAGATGTACCATTTTCCGGTGGCTGCAAAACAATAACAGTGGCATAACAGTAAGAGTAGTAAAAGAAGTAAATCACAAATGAAAGGAATAAGAGTGAAATAATAATTTGAAGCCTTGAACTTTTCTGGCACATAGCATGAGTGATTATTATTATAGTTTGGCCATGTGCGGTATGCTTAGTCGAGTATGCCATGAATTGGTTGGCATATGATTCCTAAAGTGTAATATCTATTTCAGAACCACTAATAATAAAGAGCGAAAAAAGTTATAATGTGATATATATATATATATATATATATATATATATATATATATATATATATATATATATATATATATATATATATATAGAAGTTATAATGAAGAACCACTAAAATAAAGAAGTTATAATGTGATATACATTTCATCAGATAAGGTAATGTTGACACAAGCCTTCTTTCCGCCCCCTGCAACTTGAGACCTGACTACTTGGTGAATTACACCAATGACATTTGTTTGATAGTAAGGCCAAATGGTTAGTCTATTAGTTCACAAACATGTAATAATGCAAATGATGTTTGAGAAAATTCTAAATACCATATAAGCGGTTGACTTGGAAATCTCCGTGTAAAAAATCGACGATGGGTTTGAAATGAAATTGATGGGGTGGTATTTCTGGTAAATCTACCATGGTTACAGTGGTTCCACTATTGAAAAAAAGCTTCAAAGGATTTTCACAGATTTTCAAAGGAATATCGTTGTTTAATGGATCACCATTATAAACCATATAAGTCATATGTTCTTGTAACCTCTGTTTCCACAAATCGAAATCTCTGTTGCGGGTAACGACGTGTATTTTATCACCCTATGAATCAAACAAATAGTTAGTACATATTTTAAGTTATGTAAAAGTTAGATAACATATTTACAGCAATAATGCATACCTTGCTATCTTGGATAACACATTCAAAATGTTGTTGTCCATTACGCTCAGTTACAGTCCATAGATCAACAATACGAATGGCGAGCTTCCATACATTGTTTCCTAGCTTCAAATCAGCAATCATAATAGGTGCTCTAGACATGGTGATCTGAAAAGTAACAACTACAATATAAGTTCATAACAGACATGGTTTTCAGATATGCTTTCAGAGATGAATAACAATAACCAAATGTACAGAAATTGTTAGCAAAGCTTGTAGCTTTCTTATCGGAAAAAAAAAAAGATGAACAAAAAGCAACATTCATCTCAAAACCCAAAAAAATTGATTCAAAATGGATTCAGAACAACATCATGAAAATCAAACCCACGGTCATTGTAAAACCAGAAAACAATGGTTGAACTCGGGTTTGTGAAACAAAAAAACCAGAGTCTTGGTTTGTGAAACAGAAAATCAGAAAAACTAAAAATAAAACAATGCTTGAACTATGATGTCCAGGGAGAGGCGATGGAAGTAGAAGCACGTACCTTCTTATTTTTAGCTCGCAATAACTATAGACGAGGGAGACGATGATGTTCTGAAGTATGAAGTATGGAGAAAATGGAAAAAAGTGAAATATGATTTGTGGAGAAATGAGAAGAAAGGAGAAGAGAAGGAGAAAAGTGAAATATCAGAAGAACGAAAGATATAGAGAAGAGAGGGAAAAATGAAAAAAAGTTTGGGACCAATGGGTAACTGACACGTGGATGAGAAGGAAGCTCTTAACATCTCTAACAATATGAATATGTTGATTACTAAATTATCCTTTTTTAAAGCAAATTGAAATATTTGTTATTGGATAATTTTGTAATAATGGTAGTATATTTTTGCAATGGGTAGATAGTAGATTAAAAAAAAAAGAAAAATATCCCTCTTCAACCGGTTAAATGGCGACCCATGGCACAAGATTGAAATCAACACAATAGGAACTCAAACTCCCACCGTTCTGCTACCAAAAAAACTTATTATCAAACAACACAATGTAACAACTGCTGATGCCATGAAATCAAGTTAATAAAAAAAAACTTTTACAACAGACACGAATGAGCTAAAACATAACAAATGTTCACAAACACCCTTCACAAAATTTCAGCATAGTATCGTCATTCGAAACCAAATTGCAATCAAACTTAACGAAAATGATAACTTGCTTCTGCTGCTGAACCGATTTGTAATAATGCATACAACAACAATGTCATTGTGAAATGCAGTAGTAACAAAATAAAATCAACGGAAACCAAAACGGAACTTTAATCCAATAAAAATTCTTAGAGTATCAAGCAATTTACCAATGAATACACTCTCATTTTAAAACAACATGGACAATTAGAAATATACTAACCAAAACATCAACATGAGATTGTGACAATAAACAAAGTGTGATAGCTTTGGTCAAACCGAATATTACCGGAAGTTATTTGTTCGATAAAAAGTGGAAGTTGTCAAGGAAAGAGCAGCTCCACAGTGGTTCTGCGTAAAGTTCTGATGGACGGAGGAATCTTCGTTTAAAATTTAAACAACATCAGTAGAAGAAGATTGTGTCGTGAGATGCAAAACACTCGTTGCTGCTCGGCGAAGGAATGGTGAGGTTGAATAATCGCCACAAGTTAATCCCAACAGCAACATACCTTTACCAGATTCCTCGGAGCATCCTGAGTTACAAGGGAGGGAGTGGGTTTGTAATAACAAAAGTTTCCCTGTGTACTGCTTGGAATGTCAAACACTGCGGCAAAGTGGAGCTGCTAAACTAGATTAAATTGTTGACTTGTTTTTCTTTACCAAATTCAGTTTCGCTCAAGACAAGGTCATGAAGTTTCACAATGGTTTGTGCCTATTGTTTTGGCCCCTGTTTGAATGGAGGGTTTCCAAACGCAAGAAGAACCAATATCTGAATAACCGTGAGAGCACAAGATATTTTTCCACTATGGTTGTGTGATTTGCAATGGTGATGCGATGAGAGCTTGAGGGAGTGACACGGGTTTGAAGTTTGATAGTGAATTCGATCGAGCTCAATGGTTTGTTGTAGAGAATTGATGAAGGTTGAGAATGGTGAGAAGTTTGTGGTCGAATGGTTATGAAGGAGAAGAAGAAGAGTTTGGAGGAGGGTTTGGTAAGGAAGACGACAATGGCAAAGAACGGCAGTGGGATTTGAAGTTGTGATGGAAGAAGAATGATGATGAGGGAAGATGAAATCAGAGGGAGGAAAGAACGAAAACAATGTTTCCGAGTTTGGGTTCGGCGGCGACGTGAATAAAAGGGTGATGAATTTACGGTGAGGGTAAACGAAGGGATGAAGGTGAAGGGTTTGTGTGGGGCGGCGGCTGGGTTTTTCTCGAGTGAACTCGAAGAAGAGAAGTCTAGGGTGGCGGCTGATGTTGAAAGGCTTAGGTTTTTTTTTAAGAAGATGAACAGTCCCCCCTCCCTTTATCAAGAAGAATCCTCCGTCTTCTCAGCCCTAATTCCACGTTTTCCTTTTCTTTTTATTTTTCTAGTTCTTTTCTTTTATTTTTCTAATTCTTCTCTTTTCTTTTTCTAATTCTTTTCTTTATCAAATAAATAATAATAATAATTATATTATATTATTATATAATAATAAAACAATATAAATGAAAATATAAAAAAACAAAAATAATAAAAAAAACACTTAAAATGCCATGTGTCATAATCCTATTGGGTTTAGGTGAAAATTTTAAAAAACCAATCTTTATCAAATAAATATGCTAAATAATAAAATGCAAGCATTAAAAAAACATTAATTATTCTTGACGTTTTGATGAGAATATAAAAATAAATCGGGTGAAAATAAACAGGAATCGGGTGACAGAGATGCTTAAAAGAATTAAATCGAATGTACACAAAAAATTAACGCGAAATGAATAACTTGGAAATATACGGTACTCAGTCAATTTTGAGAATCGATCGGGACCGGTAAAAAGGCTCATACTGGTCAAAAGTGATTAAATGTTTGTCGAGAGATAAGATGAGTGGGCTAAGTCAGGTTTTAAAGGAAAGTAGGTCAAAAACTAGCGCCTGCAAGCTTAAATTCGAAAATTTCTAATCGTTGTTTTTTCTCGTATATTTGAGACGCAATTCGACCAGTTCGTATGTATATCCAAAAAGTTTGTTCTGGCTAATCATTTTGTGAATTACTTGCGGTAAAATGCCCATTATGTTGTACAAACGATGCAAATTGAAAATTAAGTCAAGCAAATGAAAATTTAAAACAGGTAGGACAAATTTGGGGTATGACACATTTTTACTTTTACTTGGGAGTTATTGAAGATTTTAGAATCCAAATCCCTTTTACTAATTTTGATGTGGATCTCATCAAAACCTTAACACAACTCCCTCTCAGTTACGTCCTAATGGCTGGGGTTTTATCAAGACGTTTGAGATTGCTTGTGATACTGTGAGTACATTACCGACCTTAGGTTTGTTCTTTTCATTCTTTGAGTTAAAGGGTGCAGAAAAAGAAGGTTGGGTCTCCCTTAGTGGTATACCGGGAAAAAGTTTCTTATATGCATATACCACTAATTATAAGGGTTTTAAGGATAAATTTCTCCGAGTTAGAAATGGGGAAAGATGTCCCCAAGTCATGTACAACCCAGATGGGAGTCATTGTTTATTGATTTATTGGTTAGACAACCCTTTTTCTATCTCGAGTTTTGATTACGATAAACTTAGCGACTTGGAACTTCGATCTTTGGTCGTGTTGGATGCCTTCCAAGTAATGAAAGTAAAATATCTTTTACAGATGACCGATAACCCTGAGAAAATCTTAAATTTTTTGGGTAATGTATACTCACCCATGTATTGCCTTGTTATTATATGATTGGTCACTTTTTTACTGGTCCGGTCTCTTGTATTTCAGCTAAGATGACGAACCTCAAACTTTCCGAGTAGAAAAAGTTAATGGACAAGGCTAGAGCGAGGTACATAGACTAGTCTACTGCTAAAAGAGATCTTACGAGAACTCAAGTCCGGGCTATTAAGAGAAATAAACCTAATGTTGCTAAAGTGATACCTGCATTATCAGAGCCCCAACCTACTACTGCTCCTTCTCCAGAAAGCCCAAAGCCCTATTCTCCCAAGAAGATGAAGACTCTTATGAGTGACGATGTTAGTCGAGCTAATCTTACCATTACCACCCTTATGCAAGGCTCAAATAGCAATCATCAATCCCAACCTTCCCCCGAGTTCAAGTTCTAGTTTAATAACTTCAACGGCATGAGGTACCTTTATGATAACCTGAATGCTAACGAGGATGTTGAGAAGGTAAAATCTATTGTTTCTCAGCAACCGACTTAGAACCTTGGAGATTAATTTTAATGAGGTGTGCAGTGATGGACCGAGGTTTGTTTGAAATGAGCGAGGCCCATGAGAAGAATGAGACTTGTCTTTTTAAGGAAATGGCTTAACTAAACTCTGATTTAAAGATTCAAATTAATAAGGCAGAAGGTTTGAACAAGCACCTGTCGGAGGTGAACAAGCAAAAGGAAACTTAAGAGTCTCAGTTACGAGAACTGACAAAACAAAAAGAAGTTGCTCAGTACCGGTGCTCGGAATTGGATGCGTCCAATGCCGGTTTGACCCTTGAACTAGACCAAACTAGGGCCACAAATGAAACCCTAAAGAAATCTCTCCAAGAGGCCTAAATGGATATCCTTTCCACTGGATATGAGGCTTTTGGTAGAGCTAAAGCCGAAGCACCATGCATCATGCCTGATCTTGATGTATCGAGGATGGGCTTCATTAAGACCGCGGTGGATGGCCAACTAGTAGACCTGGGAGAGATTTCTCCTGAAGTCGATATTCAAGCAGACATGCCGACTACCAACCCTACTCCTGAGGTTCAAGAGAATGATAAAAAATGATGTTTTAAGATAATGGTTGGCCATTAGTGATGATTCGCCTTTGTAATAATTTTTGAACAATGTTTATTTTTCTTTGTTGCATGTTTGCGCCTCTATGGAGAACCTTTTTAAAGTTTTACTGGTGTTATTTTGTTATATGTGTTGTGTTGATCACCGAAGCTTTACTGAATGTTGTTTCATTACAAATGATCTATCTTAGGGAACTCATCTCTTAACTTCCCGTTAGACTGG